GGTGTGAGCAAGGACTTTCTTATCTAATCTTAATAATCTGTTTCTATCTATACAATGGTCAACACATGGAAGCCCCTTGGAAAATATTTGTACAAATATTTTAAGAAGAGTTTTCAAGTTGATTCACAGTCTTCTCACATTCCTTCAAGTTTCCACAGCTGGTTTTCCTCACACATTTTTGGCATGTCTGTCTCCATATTGGTAATTCATGAACTACTACTAAATTGTGGAAATTTATCTTACAATGAAGACATTGGCTATGAAGTAAACATTACTAGGCTAACCTTAGTCATCTTAGCAAGGCAACAGCCCATAGAAGTTGTAGAGCAATAGAGTCATTTCTCTGTAGCTATGATTTCATTTTTGATGGTCTCCAGACATGTAGCCACTGATGGTTGCTTTGATTCTTCTTAGGTATTTGAGATTCTGGAGAACCCATCCCACGAAGGGTTTTCATGTCTTACAAACGACATTAGGGATTGTTAGGTTAAATGATCATGGCACTGGGTTATTTTTAAAACCATGTATACGAGGTACAATGTATAAGCATTTAATGTGTATACAGTCAGACTTACCCCCAGTATACAGTTCAGGAGTTGCCCAAACATGGACAGGTAGCCAGTCTTCCAACCATGGTCTGTGTTTCTATCATCTGACATGTCTCTGATTCTGCTTTGTAGTTAGTTAGTTCTTCCCCTCCCTTTCTGAAGTGCAGTCCTTGATCTGATGTCTATTAATGGAGTTTTGCTTTCTCCAAAATTTTAAGTAAGTGGGACTAAACGTTTAATAGTTTATATCTGACATCTTTCCTATGGTGTAGCAGTCCTTTTTATTGAAATTCTTTTATATTGTCACTTGCATCAATAGTTTTTTTTTTCTTTCTTTCTTTTCCCGACTAGTATTTTCCATATAACATTTTGTGTATCCATTTACCAGCTTATGGACATCTGGGTTATTTCAGGTTTAGGGCTCTGATGAATAAAGCTGCTGTGAACCTTCCATAATCTGTGTGTTTTACTTCCTCATACCTAGAAGGAAAATTACTAAGTCAAATATATTTGTTCTCTGCTTTAGAAAAATAACTGCTAAATTATTTTTCAGAGAGCTTGTAACATTCTGAATCTTCTACCATAATTGCATTTTCAGATTTAGCAGTGTCCTGGATGTCATTAGGGATTTCTTACACTTGTTTCAAATTATACTGGCATTTTCATTGTGTGTTTACATGATGTGTTTCTTTGTTGACAGAGTGCTAAAGTCCAGACCCTATAGCCTCTTTCTTAGTATGGTTATTTGACAGTGAGATTTGATAACAATTGTGAGTTTATCTGAGGAAATAGAAGGAAGCTACAGTTGTTGGTTGGTATGTTGGCATGTTGGCATGTTGACTCCCAGACACTCCTCATTTGCAGACGTCTGTGGATGCTCAATTCCCTCTTGTAAAAAGGCATTGTGCTTTCATTGAACCTATGGACATTTTCCATATACTTTTAAATCACCTCTGGCTGACTTACAACACTGGTAGTGTAGATGCTGTGAAAATAGTTGTTACATCACCTTTAGGCGTGATAACAAAAAAAGGTTTGTACAAGTTTAGGTAAGATGAAGAATTTCCCCCAAATATTTTTCAAGGGCTGGCTGTACCTAGCTGCCTCACAGTTTCAGGAAATAAATCCCTCTTACTGGATACTTTTTTTTTTTTTTTCCCTGAGGTGTTTGCTCTCGGTAGCGTGTATGGAGGGCTTTGTCCCCTGCTGCCCTGGCTAGCTGATCTTCCCTTTCATCGTGGTGTGCACCCTTTACTTATCTGTGAGTGTCAGTTAACACTCTTTAGAGAAACCACCAGTGGGTTTGCTAAACTGCCCCCTCCCCCCTCCACACTCATCCTCTTGGAACCTCCAGGTCACTGCCTCAGGCTTTTCGGATTTCATGCACCCAGCACCGACTGTCGTAAATAATGGGAGACAACAGGCAACTGCTGATCACGCTGCTGCTCTGAGTGAACCGAGCAGTTCTGGAGTTTTAGAGAATACAAATTCTTGACGGTGGGTCTGACACCAGATAGTTCTCAGATTCTTACTTTACATGTTGCTTGTGTATACTTTGAGTTCACTTGATAGATGGCTATAAAATCACTTGAAACTGTGTTTTAGCAAACCCTGTCATTATGATCTGACTATGAACAAGAGAGAAATTGTAGTTTTGGATTACCCGAGTCTAGAATATCTCACATTTTACTTTAGTTTCCCATGGGCCTTCAGCATGACAGCTAATATGAACAGAAGACCAAAAATGTAGATTATACATTTTTGTGGCTAAGTTGCCTTATGAAGTGGTATTAATATTCTTAGAATATTTTTATTTTACAGTGAAGTAGACCTTGTGGGAAGTAGGGATCAACGGTGTAGGCAGTCTGAGAACTGAGATACGCTGTGTGGCTTTGGAAAATAACCGCTCTGGGCTTTCATCTCCTCAGTAAAATTGGATCAGTGACTCTAATATCATTGAATCATAACAGAGTTTAGCTCGTCTATTTTCTCTCTTCAAAAGAATAAAAATAGGCAAGAATAATAGTAACGATAAAAAAGAAATTTTGAGCCAATATTAAAAAAAAAAAAGCACTGGTTGCAAAATAGCATAGTATAAAGCCATTTATTTTATTCTGAGTCACAACCAGTTAAATTGGGCTCAAACATCTTATGGATTAAAAGTGCTCCAAAATAATTCTGAAAGTGTATGATTTTATTGAATTTTTTAACCCTGGAATCTCATACAAAATAATGTCATTAAGATTTATGTACCAAAGGAACCAAAGGAAGCACTGAAGTTGAGTCTTCATTTCTGTTCAGTCTACTGCTAAGCTCTAGTCTTGGCAAATTGCTGAGCATCCCTGGGTGATCGAATGAAAGTAGACAGTTCAGAAAGGCTTGCAGGTGACAGTTGTGGGGAGTTGGATTACTCTTAGTGGTTGCTGATACGGACATTTTCAGGCTTTCTCTCCAGTTTCTGAAGCCACATAAAATATGGGTCAAGATGCCCAGGCTCGCTGATAAACTGTTACATACAGCATTTGTCACACCATCCCAGAAAGGGGCACGTGATGATTGGGAGTGTGGCAGAGACCCCAAGTGATGTGGTCCTTAACCATCATCTGTTGGAACTGCAAGCAATTCTTTAGTTGCTAATCACTCTTCTGCCCATGCGTGGAAAGCGCCTCTCAATAAAGAAGACATCTATGCAGCCAGAACTTTCCTTCCCTGCCTGTTGCTGCTTTTCAAGCAAAGATGCAGACTTTGGCTGCTCTGGCATCTGACAGAAGCAGATGTGGGAGGAAGAGAGAGTTCAAATTTCCAGCACCGAGTCTTCTTGTGAGTTGCCAGATGTCTGGATAAACATTGTTGTCATGATTCATCCAGCGATCTCCAAATACAGTGAAATCAGTCAAACATACATAGATGTGGGGAGTCACTTCCCTCGGGGGCCTCGGTTTCTCACTGTTGCAATTTTGAAAATGCAATATGTTGGCTAGGGTCAGTCACGTGCCTAATTTTCAGTCAAAGCTAATGTTTTCTCCTTCCTGAACATGAGGTATGGTATGCTTAAAATCTTCCATGTCGTAACCCAGGGTCTGTCCTCCAGCTGCGACGTGTAGGAATAGTCTTATCTGAGTGACCCCAAAAATTCTACCAGGGAACTCCTTCAGCTGATAAACACCTTCAGCCAAGTGGCCTGATACAAAATTAACTCAAAAAAATCAGAAGCCCTCCTGTATACAAAAGACAAAAGGGCTGAGAAAGAAATTAGGGAAACAACACCCTTCACAATAGCCACAAAGGACATAAAGTACCTTGGTGTAACCCTAACCAAGCAAGTCAAAAACTTGTATGAAAAAAATTTCAAGTCTCTGAAGAAAGAATTAGAAGACGATATCAGAAGATGGAAAGATCTCCCATGCTCATGGCTTGGCAGGATTAACATAGTAAAAATGACCATCTTACCAAAAGCAATCTATAGATTCAATGCAATTCCCATCAAAATACCAACACAATTCTTTATAGACCTTGAAAGAAAAATTCTCAACTTCATATGGAATAACAAGAAACCCAGAATTGCTAAAACAATCCTTTACAATAAAAGATCTTCAGGAGGTATCTCCATTCCTGATCTCAAGCTGTACTGTAGAGCAACAGTAATAAAAATTGCATGGTATTGGCATAGAAACAAAATGGTGGATCAATGGAACCAAACAGAAGACCCAGAAATGAACCCACAAACTTATGGACACCTGACCTTTGACAAAAATGCCAAATCCATACAATGGAAAAAAGATAGCATCTTCAATAAATGGTGCTGGTCTAACTGGATGTCTGCATGTAGAAAAATGCAAATAGATCCATACTTATCGCCCTGCACAAAACTAAAGTCCAAGTGGATCAAAGACCTCAACATAAAACCAGACACATTAAATCAGTTAGAAGAAAAAGTAGGGAAGACCCTAGAACTCATTGGTACAGGAGACAACTTCCTGAACAGAACACCAATAGCACAGGCTCTAAGAGCAACAATCAATAAATGGGACCTCATGAAATTGAAAAGCTTCTGTAAAGCAAAGGACACTGTCATCAAAACAAAACAACTGCCTACAAATTGGGAAAGAATCTTCACCAACCCTTTATCTGACAAAGGGCTCATATCCAGTATATATAAAGAACTAAAGAAGCTGAAAAGCAGCAAACCAAGTAATCCACTTAAAAAATGGGGAACAGAGCTAAAGAGAGAATTCTCTGTAGAGGAATATCGAATGGCAGAGAAACACTTAAAGAAATGCTCAGTGTCATTAACCATTAGGGAAATGTAAATCAAAACGACCCTGAGATTTCACCTTAAACCTATCAGAATGGCCAAGACAAAAAACTCAAGTGACTGGTTTCATCTTAATGCTCTCTGAAATCCTTTGTATTGTCCAGCAGACTGTTTAATCTGTGTCCATTTCCTTTCAGAAATCCCTCAGCTGGACACTGAGAACATCAGTCCTACCCTTTCTGAGTCTTGAATTGAAAGCTTCCAGCACGGTACGACCTAGAAGTGAAATAAAAGGTAATCAAATTTTAAAAGGTATTATTAAACTCACAGATAAGTTCACACATAAGTAAATGTATTCTTTTATGTATTGAACAGATTCTTGGTATCTTTTCTTCGTTTTTCCAGCTTCACTTACTTTCCTTCTTTTTTTTTCCCCCCCTCTATTCTGCCCTCCTGCCCTCCTGTTTGTTTCCTCCTTTCTCTATTCATTCAGTTACACATGTGTGGGGTCTTTTCAGGCCCCAGCGTTTGGGGCACACACACCTGGCAGTCTGCGTGTCGTGGGAGGGGCTTGTGGAAAACACATCTGAAAATAATGGCCCCTGTCTCCATCCAGTCACTTGTGGTGCTGGTCTGACCAAGAGTCCAGCAGCCATTCAAGTACACACTCTTCTTTTTTAATCATCTCCACTGGCCCTGAAATCAATGCCCCTCTGCCCTCTGTGTCCTGGCTTGGGCATTTGCTTACAGTATTCTTTTCCAAGTTATCTGAACCCACTTCCTGTTTATGGTTTAGCTTCACAATTAGGACTGTTAGAATCAGAGTTACTCACTGGGTAAGTACTGGTACTAGTCTTCAGCCAGTTAATATGTGGGCACTTCCACTGGGCCTGAGACCTGACATGACAATTCCAAGAGGAGTGTTTTTTTATTTGTTTGTTTGTTTGTTTTTCTCTTCCTGTCCTATGTTACAGTAAAATTACAGGTGTGCCACAGTGCTCTATAAAGTTACCTTCTGCCCATATATACAAGGGGTGTGTGAAACATGAATGCATTTCACATTTAGACACAATCCGGGCATGTGCAGAGTTCCTGATACTTTACTCTTCTGCAGGATGCAGATGATAGCACTTCTTTCTCAGGTTTCTGCAAGTACTGAATGAGTTGGTATATACAAACTACTCTGTCCTAGGCACACAGCGCACACCTTGTGAAAAGAAGCTTGTAATAGGGCAAATACCATAACGCCAGTTGCTGAGAGCCTCAAAGGATAAGGGAAGAAGGCTACAAGTTCAGCAATACCCTTTTTAGCTCGTTAAATTATTGTCTCCGCTTTGATCACAAAGGTTCATTCTTAAAAGCTTTGTCTGTGACTGGCAATTGGGGTGAATAGTTCATGTTATATATTCTTTTCTTGTCATTACTACCTAAATACAAAGGGCATTATAGTCTTGGGTTTTTCTTTTTATAAGTTTAAAAGCTATTAAATATGTATAAGTATTTGTTCTCTCTTATTAGGTAATGTTTCTTATTCTTAAATATGCAGTGTCCTAAAATATTATCACCTCTACTGTCTCTACCTTTTCCAAACTTTAAGGAGAACCAACCTGAAATTGGGTAACACTCATACACTGTTCATAAATTAAATTCAGCCTACTTAAATTTGGACTTTTCCTCCCTGTCCTTTGAACTGGAAACATATTAGAGAATTTCCTGAGCACTCGTTTCATATTGCCTGCTTTGTGTGCAGTTGAAATGAATGACATTGCCTAGCAGACTAATGTATATAGCTGGGGAGCAGCTCAGGAGTAGAATTTGTGCTCAGCATGCACAAGGGACTAAGTTTCATCCCTAGAAACACACACACACACACACACACACACACACACACACACACGCACACTCACACCCACACGAGACTTTTAAAGAAAAGAGAATATAATTACAAATCACTGTGAGTCTCATAAATTAGCAAGTCTTACTGGCATGCCCCTCCTCCATTATCTTTGTTTCTGTGCCAGTATTGGACATGCACAGTGCAGATGAGAACTGAACTGAGAAGGCTTCAAGAGGACTGTGCAATTAAGAACTCAGTTGCTAAAATCCTGAGGACATAATGACTTTCAGATTTTCTTTTTTTTTTAATTTTAAGTTTATTTTTTAAATTTTTAATTTTTTTTATTTTTATTAATTACAGTTTATTCCTTCCCTCCTCCCTTCCCAATCCTGCCCTCCCCCTTCCCCACCGGTGTCCCTCTCTCAGTCCTCTGAAAAGGGAGATCCTCCTCCCCTTCCCTCTGATCCTAGTCTATCACGTCTCATCAAGAGTATCTGCATTGTATTCTGTGGCCTGGTGACAGGACAGGAGCCTACCACAGAGGGCCTCTGAAAGGCTCTACCCTGCAGGGTATCGAGGCAGATGTTGAGACTCATAGCCAAACTTTGGGGAGAGTACAGGGAATCTTACGAAAGAAGTGGGAGATAGTAAGACCTGGAGAGGACAGGAGCTCCACAAGGACAGTGACAGATCATAAAAGACTGGGCACAGGGGTCTTTTCTGAAACTGATACCCCAGCCAAGGACCACTCATGGAGATGGCCTGGAACCCCTGCACAAAGGTAGCCTATGGCAATTTAGTATCCAAGTGGCCTCCATAGTAATGGACATGAACCTGATTGGCCTGCTCTTTGATCAGATTTGCTTTTAGTATCCCTGTGAAACAGAACTGTGTAGAAAGTCATTTCCGTGGGAGGGTGTATGCATTTGAATGCAGCAATGTTAGTTCTCTCTGACGGTTGGGATGATGATGATGGCTGGAATCCCTGTCTTACTTCCCTCCTGCGGTCTTCCTGCTGCTTCTCCTACCCCTCCTTTCCTGCCTGCCTACTCCATCAATCTGGAACTTACTCAGAAAACCCTACTGTCCCAGTGTTCCTTGTCTGTGATGCAGAACCCTTGAGAGGAAGTCCTCCTAAAGAGTAGTAGATAGCCTGAGTATTGATACCTGTTTCCTGTTATCTCTGCTGCTGTAGCCTCTGCTCCAGCAGACTGGCCTAGCCTGTGCCTGGGGAAGGAGTCCTAGGCTTTGTGGACACCCAGCCCACAGAGGCCCTCACAGCCTCTCTTCTCTGAGGGGGTCTCATTGGTGCCCCTTGCACTGTCTTTTCTCAGCTGATTGTGGAAGTGTTCTGCCTCTACCCACGTTAGTATTTTCTGGCCAAGAGCAGTATAATGGTTGAATATTTTACAAATCTCTCTATATTCTGCAAGGAAGGACCAGTCTTGGGCAGGAGCTGTACTGTTTGAAATGGAGATTTACTAACCATAAGGGGATATCACTAGTTCCTATGATAGAAATCTAAACCTGGACTTGCCAAGTGTTCTGCTCGGCAGTAGACACTAGCATCTTTTCTTTATGATTTTTTTAAAGCTCATTTGCATTTTTTGCTTCATTATTGTTGGAACATGGTCTAGGATTGGAGGGAGTCACGGGAGGAGAATTCTGAGTGCTTGTGAGAATACTCCAAGAAAACAAGTCTTGTGACCTCAGTTTCTTCGAGAACATGGAATTATTCTTGGAATATGTTTTCATGCCCTCCAGGTATAGCAGATGGGAGTGGTCTGCTTTCCTCTCTCCTGCTGTACCACTGTGGTATTTTTGCCTTGCAGCAGGCCTTGGAGCAGTTGGCCTTCTGAGCAAGGATGGAAACCTTTAACACGGAGCAAAATCAAATCCCTATCCTTCTAAGTTGTTTTTATAAGGCATTTTGTCACAGTGAGAAAAGGCTACAAGGACCTTTGATTTCACCTCTTTTTGTTTATTTGCTCTTGTCAGTTTCACCTGTGTAGCAGCATCACAGCTAACTGAATATGAATACATTTTAATATATAGTATGAAGTGCTTTAAATTTTGCAAATGGTAAGGATTTCAGATATTCTCTTAGTGTACTAAATTTTTTAAATTTATAGAATACAATCTTATATTGTCTTAACTTGAATTTTGGGATTGGTGTCTTATCACAGTTTCCTTTAGCCATGGGAGGTTGTGGTTTAATGTCCCCAGTGGATGCCTGAGATAGTAGATGGTAAGGAACCCTGAATTTACTGTTTTGTCCTATGTATGCATTCTGGTAAAGTATTAACTTACAAAGTAGTTACAGCAAGAGATTAATGATGGTAAGTAACAAGGTGATAAGAACAGCTATGACAATATTGCAGTGCATGTTTTCACTTTGAGGCAATTGTTAAGTAAAGTAACGGTTTGTTAGAACATAAGCACTGACCTACCAAGGCAGCCTCCTGATAAGTGAGATGACTCTGGTTAGCAAGTCAATAACACATGAGTTGAATATACAGTACAGATACACTAAAAGGCCCGATCTGTTCCTGATGGAATGACAGCATGGAAATTCACCCTACTCGGAGTCCTGTGATTTAAACATTGGTGATGTTTGTCTAAATGTATGTCTAAATATTTCCTATATATAATATATGTATAATATATATTCCTATAATATATAGGAAATATTTAATATATTTATATATTAATATATATATATATATATATAATTTTTTGAAGTGTTAACTGCCATTCAGGCTCCATTTCCCTGCCAATATGGCAGATCTCTCTGAGGGGAAGTAGGGTCAAGGACAGCAGGAGGTTAAAGAGACCTTAGGCAGCTGTGAGCTTGGTGAGAAATAGATTTCTCAGGAGACAACTTCAGTGAGATAGCTCGTTTAATGGGAGAAAAGGCTACTTAAAACTTTGAGAGATGTTTAGGGGCTTTCAGTGTACAATACTGGCTGGGGTCAGGGTGCTGGGGATGCTTCATTTGCTTGAGGAGGAATTCCAGGTAGTGCTGGACATGACCTTATTAGGAGAAAGGAAGTTTAACCTGGCTACCAGGCTAGGTGACCTCCTACAGGGTGGCAAAGGTTGGGACACAGGGCTATGTGGGCCAGGATGTGCAGGAAGGGGCAGCGGGGAATGATCCTACTCCTCCTGCCAATCTCAGGATGAGATTTCTAATGTTTGGACATGCCTAGACCCTACTTTTGCTTCAAGCTGGCTTCTCCCAGTCCCGAAGCTCCCCAGCCACACAGTCCACCACCTGCCACTGAAATTGTGGGAAACGAAGCAATGGCTAGGATACTACAGTGGGCCTTTAGTGTGTTTGGTAGGAGACAGTCATTGAAGGAATATTTTTTTATTTTCCTGACTTTTTTGAGGTCTGTATATAGTGACAGGTCTTTTAAATGTCAGTGTAGTAAAGCCATGGTGTGTGACATTTTTT